TAATTTGACAGCCGAAGCACGAGCAAAAGCTCTCCTCGATTATGTTCGAAGATGACGTAACATATGCCTCCCTCTCGATCGGATCACTTCCCACTCTGCGCATCGAGGTCACAGACACAATCATAATTTCAGTGCCCCAAACAGCTGGAGGAAATAGTGCCAATTATAATCTTAGGCTTCAAGGTGGGCCACGATGGACAACTACCTCAGAAAACTGATATTTCCTCAACAAAAGAGCCAACAGCTGTCACTTTCCCGAAACGAAGTGCCCTGAACAAAGCTAAGCCCAGAAGAATGGATGCTTGCAGTGTGGACAATAACCGAGTTAACCGGGAGGGCAGAGAGGACAATAAACTCGTCTTGAGTCGTGACCGGGCAGAGTTCGTACCAGGAGCTCAGGTTCGTGGTTGGGCTAGATTCTTCCACTGACCTCTCTCATCCATCGCAGTCAAGGACAAGCTTTTAAGCCGCTTTTGTGCGATGGACTGCAAGTCGCGTGCCAGCAGGAAGCCAGAGTGACCGTGACTGTTGAACATTACCACGTCTTTACTTGGACGACTTGGGCTCAAAAGCTGAATATAGAAAAGAAGGCGCAACAAAGAGGTCTCGGTTGATCTTCGTTCAAGGTGTTCCGTTCGCTGGAGACGAGCCTACCTTCTTGTGCCGTCGGAGCGTGCCATTTGCACTTAGTTTCTCGTTTCTGGTGTGTGTGTAGACGGGGGAGGAGGTACAGTCGGAATGAAATATTGCCGCAGCTTTCGAAGGAACAAAACAGTTAAAGTCCGTAGAAGTCCTTGTGGGTTTCTTTGTTTAGGGGATGATTGATTTCTAATGATAGTCAACTCTGTGAAGCTGCCGGAGGGTCACAATGAAACGCGTAGACCGATTATCCTACCCATAGTCGGTGACAGGTTAATAACCTGCCGCCTACTGGGTTATTAACCTGTAAGCCTGGAGCGCGAGCTTTCGGTCTTTGGTGCATAACACTTCGAGGCGCACACATGCCCAAAGCCCTGGGGATGGTAGTGAGCGCGGTGAAGCGTCTTAACCTGTCGATATGGATATCCGCGCAGCAAAGTCTTCTTCTGTTGCCCGTTTCTGTGAAAGTTCTGTGCAACTTGTTTTCGCGTATTCTGATTTCCCCCCGATTCTTTCTGTCGTTGGCTTTCGCTTCTATTTAAATACGTAAACATAGGCTGCCCGCGTGCATTAAAAATAAGCGAATAAATTATAGGCCCACTTCATTCACTCCGAAGCCAAATAGCTGGAGAAGAAAGTGTTCTGGACTGACCGAAAGTTAACAATGAGAATAAAAGACACTCTCTCACGCCATACCGCGGCCCACATGCATCACTAAAACCACAGTTTTTTTTTTCTTTTTCCGCGGTTATTTTAATAACAAAAACATTTATCCGAGAAAGTAATGTCGTTTCGAGCGGGTGTCTTCTACGGTCTGGTTACAGCCAAGTAGACAACACAAGAAAAGTAAAAAAAGAAAAGAAAAACAAAGTAGCTCTGGATCGAACGTTAAAAAGAGCGAAAAGGAAAAGCGGGAGTTCCCCCACAAAAAATAAAATAAATAATAAATAAATAAATAAATAAATAAAAGTGAGCTTACGAGCAAACTCTTGTGGATTAAAACAAATCAAAACCACTTGAAAGTTGGCTCCCTTCGGTCGTTTTCTCTCTGGCCCGTCTCGGCGAATTCCAGACTCGCCGACCTTGAACTTCACTATTAATAATAAAGACAGGCGGCCTGCCTCGGCGAAAGAGCGAAGCTCGTCCCTTATCGGCCAGACGACGACCTTATTTCTCCGGTTCAATCCTCCCCCCGCGCCGTTCTTCTCCCCCGTGACTGACCAATGCCACCTAGAAGACAAGGCCTGAGCTTCGCGTCATCGTTAGTGGCCCCCCGACCCCCCCTACCCGAGGTTGCCAGCACCTTGAAGCTCAGACGAGAGTCGCCGCCAAGCGGCAGTCGCGCCCTTCTTGGCGTCGCTGCGTGTTATTACGCGGAGCGCAAGTTCGTCTGCTTCTTTTGCAGGGATTGTGGTGACGTCAGAAAGACGCCGAGATCTGATTGGTAGACCTCAGAGCTCGGTGTTCTGACGTCATCACAACCCCTGCAAAAAAAAAGCAGACCAACTTGCGCTCCACATAGTGTCGCGATCTTTTTTTTAGAGATTTCAACTGCAATCAATTGAATGGCCGACGCCTCCTGCGCAGATCAATCGCGAGTGCGCACGTGCTGTGTCTCTTTGCGAGGCGGGGAGGAAAGCGGACGGAGATATCACACTTTCGGTTTCTGGGCCAGGTGGCGCAAGCTACCGCCCGTTATAAAAGGGTATAGCCGTGTGTTAGCATCCGTCTATCTATCCATCGATCCAGGGGAAACGTTTGCAAACCTTGTAGCCGATCACCGTTTTCGGAACCTCCTCGCAGCTCGTACTGCAGACGCGGCCCTATAAACCGCGTGACCAAGATTGAGCGGTGTGAGGCACCTTGTAATCTAGGCACTCTAAACACAACAGGGGCTGTAATCTGGGCACTGGGTAAAAATGTCGGCGAGTAATCCCCCCCCCCCCCCCTCCCCGAAACCATCATTGGCCTGCACCCGGCGTCAAGTGTCCGTATTATAGCCCCCGCGGGGTATACTACTTCATTACCACAAAAACAGCGTCCATAACACGAGTTGTTCGCAATATTTAGACAAAACTGTGGGTATTTAACTTAGTTCGCGTTCCCTAAAGTGGTGTCTATGTATACGCTCCTGGCTTTGACGAGTGCTTTTCTAGCGCGAGTGCTTGTTCTGCAGCAGAACGCTTCAAAGCAGCGACCTCGAGCTTTCGTACTTGTGGCATTGACTGTAATCTCGGTTCAAAGGGCGAACGTAGTAATAGCGGGGTATTCATATTAGGGGGTTGTAGTACATCGTTTTCCCCTCCGCTATGGTATCCGTAAACAAAAACACCTCAGCTGCGCATGCGCGCTGCCAGCCTTGCCTGCATAGTTCAAGGTCTTGTGGTGGATTGCGGAGCGCTATGCGGGTACTTAGCGGGCTGCGGAAACGGTCTACTAAAATTTCTCTTAATTGGTTCCGTATTAACGAAACGCTATCGTAGTGGTGGTGAAAAAGTAGGAAGTTAACGGTACCGGCCGGCTTTTAGGAATCAAAAAATAATAATCGAAAAACAAAAACAAGAGAAGCCAAACCAAGAATCCGGCAGGAACAGGTGGTGCTGCTGCAAGTTCCTCAGTCCCCCAACTTCATGTTGGCGACGCCAGCAAACCCACATTTCCTCCCCCCTCTCTCCGTTTTTGAAACGCGAACCTTGGTGGTACTTCTGCTGTGGTGACCTAATTTCTTCTTTTTTTTTTCCAGTCGCACTAATGGAATTCTGGCCGTGCTTTCATTCAGTTTGGTTTTATGACTCTCTTGCCAGTTGTTACTTCTATTTTAGCACAGGAGCTTGCTCCCCCACCGCTGTTTGTTTAAGACATTCTATTCTGTTGGGTATGGCTCCGAAAAGCGCGGTTTTCGCTCTGCTCCCGCACATCCTGGTTCAAGCTGGGCTTTCACCCCTTGAGTCAGCTGGCTTTGCGGAACGTCAAGGAACTTTTTAGAGGAGTTAGAAGAAAAGAAATCTTAGGTTGCAAGATAAAAGTTAGGATTTGAAACTTGCGAGCCTGTGCTTCAGATTAGTGAAATGTATATTTATTTTGTTTCTTATATTTTGCGCCTTTTGTTATTTTACTATGTCCGATTCAAAATACAATTGTGTTATTAGACGTCAAGACTAGCCTTTACGGACATGGCTCCAACCAGCTGTTGTACATTGTTGTGAAATAAAACGAAACAAAATAAATTTTAAAAACAATTGCAGAACGTTTATGCAAAAAGAAACAAAAGGTGCCTTCGACATGTCCATTCTAGCCTGAGCCCTGAAGCGCTCCGTAAAAGTACAAACGACGTCATGTACATTTTAAATAAGAAAATTCCTTAGAACCTCTTGGTGTGGCGAGTCTGGAGCGTGACTATCGCGGAGCAGCCAAAAAGATTGCACCAATGGCCGATACGGACGCGGGAAAACAAATCACGAACCAAGAAGCCTCAACATAACCATAATAGGTGGCGCAAGCTACCCACCTTTATAAAGTTTACAGTTGTTATCATTCATCCATTCATTTCTTAAGCCTACCGTGACTGTTCTCTTTTCGGCGTAATTTATGCACAATGTTAGAAATTCGGCATCCCGTGACGTCTTTAAAAGAAAAAAAAAATGCAGTGACGTCTGCATATCGCCAGAGACAACATCTAATTGGACGCCCCCGCCCACTTGTTGTCTCGAAGGGCCGCATCGGAGACGGTTTGCCCTTGAGCCACCCGGACTGCATTAATGCATCCCGATAATGGCAGCTTCCGATGCTGTTGTATTGGGCAATGTGGCTTTGCCATTCTATTGTGCCCGAGGAGACTCCATTGTGTATCGGCCGTGATAGTGCGCCGAAGTCTCCTTCCGCTGTTTCTTTCGTTCGTACTCTCATTCTTCGCCAGCCCCCCTCCCCTCCCCCACCTCGGTCGTCGTCGTTAGATGCAGACTTCCGGCGCGACATCTTTCAATAATGCTCCCTTGTGATATCTCAAGTTTAGTCGTTTTTTCCTTTCAAGTGTTGTTCTCTCTTTCTCAACTGCGTATTGGGTCATCTGGTGTAACGCCGGTGCCTACGAGACAGGGAGAAATGAAAAGCAACACATGGAGGGTCGAGTGTCGGAAAATATCACCTCGTGAGCTGGGATTACGGGGATGATTGGAAAGTAAAGACTTTATCCTGAGGCACCGCCTTTAGCAGACTCTGGGGTTGAAAGGGATAATAAGGCAAGAATAACTGAGATCCGGCGCTCTCCCGTCATTATTTTGTTATGCGGAAGATATGAAAATGGCACTGTAACTAAGCTCAACGTGATCACAATACTGGATAACGCAGAAAATCAACGAACGTCAATGGAGACAATTGGAATTTTTATTTCGTTGCAGCGGCAAGGGGGATAATGCAGTCGACTGACATGACTGGGATCCACACCTGAGTACAACTCAAACCCGTGACTCTGGAAGCACTCTTCTTGTGCCGATGAGGGTTGGAAAAAGGATGTATGTACAGAAAGCATCATCGTGCAAAACGATCCGAAAACTCTCCAAGAGGTCGAGATGGATGAACGTGAAGAATGCCAGGCATTTTCGGGTAATTAGAAACAGTTCTTGGGAGTGTTTTCAGATCATTTTAACAGATACTAATGGCAGGACTGCTATGCATAACAGGCATCTGGGAAATGGCGACAATGATGTACAGTGGAATCAGAAAAGGTGGAATACAATTAGAAAACTCGCGTATCTTACAATAAATAACAGGAACGAGTGACGGTACCAGGAGCGGCATCGCAGATCTCACAACATAAGAAACTGGAAAAACAGGGTTTCATCCTCGGCCCCGAGACAACGTTTCTAGAAACGCCACAGATTGAAATGTCCCATTACCGCGACGCAACCTTCGGCTTACGGTGGGTCACACCGTTGGGTAGTCCCTTGGCGACGGACTTATCGTTCTGCGAAAGCGCGGCGGTGGCTGCGTAGTTTCCGCAGAAAAAGAGCACTGCACCCTTTTTGGTTTTGGTGTACGTGTGGACATAGAAGTTCACGAAAAGTACAAGAAAGAATAGGCACTGCGAGGCCGCCATGTAAGTGAGAAACCTGGGGTAGCCACAGTCCTTGAAGAGTGGGACGGACACAAAACCAATGAACACCGCAAACTGGATGATCTGCATGCGGGTGATGTACCGTTTCCACCACAGGTACTTTTGGACGGACGGCCCCAGTGCTGCGAGGAAGTAGTAGGCGTACATGACGATGTGGATGAACGAGTTGATGCACACTCCGAGGATGCCCTGGCCGTCTGGGCCAAACGTGATGAAAAGCCAGCCGTTCCACACTACCAGAGTGTGATGGACGACGTGCAGGAACGAGATGTGGCTGTACTTCTTGCGCAGCAGGAAGAACAGCGTGTCTGCGAAGTCCAGGATGCGAACCATGAAGTACCACCAGCAGTACGTGACGATAGGGAGGGACTTGGGGTCATGAAAGTCGATGCCCTGGCAGACCCAACTGTAGCCACCGCCCAGGTAGGAATGGGTGAGGAACTTGTAGAAGAAGAATATGTTGAGGGCCACCATTAACGCGTTGTACGCCATGATGACGCCCTTGAGGTCGAACGGCTTGCGGTCTTCCATCCAGCGTGGACCCCAGACCTTGATGACGTACAGGTAGCCGGCGATGAGAGACATCACCATGGCCGGGTTGCCGATGAAGGGGAAGCCCCTGGTTCGGGGATCGGTCTGCGCCTTGAGTTGCTCAAGCAGATCGGACACGAGCGACGACATGCCGAGCTCTGCGAAGAACATCAGAGGCGAACAAAGGGCACCGCTGAGCAGCCAAGATTGTAAATGAGGGAATCGGAGAATGAAATGAAGACATTTCCGATGTTACGGTTTTGTTATACTCCGTTTCACCATACGTTTAGTCGCAGCAGACGATACGAGCCATCCCAGCTATGTGAACTCGGCACGTGACTACTCTTTCCGCGCGTCACTGCGCTTCCTGCCAGCCAGAAGAAATTCACACGGGTTTGGATTGGCTCCGATGTGGCTCGTAGCATCCACAGCGGCCAGACGTAATTTGAAACAATGTGTTCACGCAAATTAGCCACTCTGACGAAGCTCAGATTGCATAAAAAGACGGAACATTTAAAGTAAACAGATATAAAACGGACAATAAAGGAGTACACTCTTTTGCCTATCATTAATTTATAAATGCAGACTATTGTGGAACGAACCTCTACACAGGGATGACGCTTCGAGTTCTGCTCGCCAGACTTATAGCGTTTAGCGAGCATCAACCGACACTTTGGGCCACCTTCGTCTTACAACGGGCACGAAGACAAAACGGTTAGGTAGTTTGCAATTTGAATCTGCAAAAATGCGGGATGCGGGGACTTTTGAAACGTCCTTATTAGTGGCGCGGCGGCTATATTCAAAACAATCCTGACCACCTACGTAAGAAAAGAAAGCACCTGGATGAGTTGCGGCCCTGCTTATTTACAAACGCGGTGCCAGTTAGGAATGACCGAGATCCTTACGCAGTGTTGCCAGATAGTGGAGCAATCAAGCCGCCAAATGTAGCCAAAGTCATAGAACAAAAGCAGCCAAAAACCACAACCATTAAGTTTAGGCTCTCTATTCGGAATTCCTACCACTAAAGAAAATATACGCTTATCGCATTTTCGTCGCATATAGTTGGGCTACCGTTCTGCAAAATAAGTGTCGCTTGTGCGTTTATATTCGCTGGAGTAGGTAATTGGTTACGGATACACCGCTCGTGTTCCAGAGTGGCAGTGTTCTTCCGATTCTCCAGATCAGTCTTCGACTGACATGTTCAAACGCTTCATGGAACACGGGCACTGCCAACACAAACTGCATTAAATAAATATTGTAAATCCCGTGATATTCGTTTCGCACTGTCTATCGTTACGTCCGATGGAACCCAGAAAGAAGATTAGAGTTACGTCCGACGTAACTTTACCCCGAAATTTCGAGATACGTCCGACGGAAATAGATGTTAAAGTTACGTGCTGTGTAAAGTACGCAACCTTACTGAATGTTACGGTTTACGGCCGATACATGACGTAAACGGAAACATATCGTGAATTACTACTACGTTAAGTCCGATGCACCATTCGTTAAAATCGCGGCTCCATCTGTACCTCCAGGTACAGACGTTCGTCGTATTAGTTTTAATTTTCTTTCTCGTGTTTTTCCTTTTTTTAAGACAATTTCTTGCGACGCTTTCTTAGAATCGCGGACGTTCGAAGCAATCGTTTAGAGATAGAATGGTAATGGTATACTCGGTCGGACGTAACTTTAACTTCTATTTCGTGTTCCGTCGGACGTAACATTAATGTGTATTTCGAGTTCCGTCGGACGCAACTTTAATGTTTATGTCGGGCTCCGTCGGACGTAACGCTAGACACTGCGTATTTGTATTACGGGACACATTTGGGCATCTTACTCAAACGATTAAAGACGAATTTTTGTGAAGTACGGGAGATACGAGAAATATTATCGCAAAAACAGTTCATATGAGGTAGGACGCGCAGAACAATCGGAACACGGTTTGGAATCCTGAACTCGACTGGAGAATTTTAAAAAAGGAGGGGAATTATAAAATTTAGAAGACCACGCCGGCAGCGATCGACCGGTGAATCATCCATTGACAACCACCAGAACGCACTGCGGGGGAAAGCACATCCCTGTTGTATTTTTAATACCATTATAAAGTTTCGCCTAGAAGGTTCCGGGTGCAAAATGCAGCTGCGAAGAAAAAAATGGGACATAGCCCAAAAGTAGACAAAAAGCCAACCACCAAATTTCGACACCGACTTCAACACAAAGTAACCTAATCTGGCCACACTGCTTCACAGGGCCTACTGGGGCAAAGCACTCAAACCTTTCCTGATAGCACCCCCCCCCCCCCCCCCCCCCGGAAGTGCCCGCTTACAATCAGACCTTATCGCTGGGCCCGAAGTCGCTAAGCTCCCGTGAACCCAAAAGTCGTCTGTCTCATAAGTGGGCAGAGTACAAGCAACGCCAGATAACAAAGGGACAGCGAAAAAAAATTCACCGAGGGGGATCCGGTTAGTACGGGAGCGTGCTGCCCTTTTGTGTCGGGAATAAAGGAGCAGCGTGACCTACACTGCTGGGGAAAGAGTGAGCCCCAAATAAACTGCTCTGGAATGCCGGCTGAGAGAACTGCGGCCCTGCTATGGATAAGATCTCTGCTGCTTGAAACTTTCAGCCTCCAAGGGCTTTCGCTTCCGTGCGAGCAATCTTTGCGAATAAAGTGACTTCGGTTACAGCTGAAATGAAAATTCGCGATGTGTGAACAAGTAACTAGGGAGATTAGACGCTGGTGTCTAATCTCCCCGATCGCCTCGCCAATCAGCAATTTAACAAATTAATCCGCCTCTAATTCTGCAATAGAGAAGCATAGACGGCGCGGAAAATGCCCGGAGAGCTATTTTAAGCAACGGCGGTAGTGCCATACGACGTAATCTAACTTCCGTCAAGCGGGAACGTGTGCATACCTCCAACGTACACTGCGTTCAAGACAAAGCAAAAATATAGGGTATGCACTTGTCTCACTGATTTAAAAAAGAAATATATATACAGTTCCTCGTACTACGCCGGCTCTGACACAACGCGGTCGTGAAATATTCGTTTTGCGTTACCGAGAAAACAAACAAAACGCCACGATCAGCGGACACGAAAAACTTACCCCGACACTGATACAACCCGTTCGCCACAAATGCGTCCAACTAACACGGATACCAGATATTCTTAGACCCGATGCGGGGCAAGCTTAATAATGTATCTTATGCGCACGAGACAAAAGCGTTTACGTTCGCCGATATGCGCTCACCGCTCGGCGACACCAAAGGACAAAAAAAAAAAAGAAAAACGAGGATGAATCTTTACGTACGCTGAATATCCGTCAGGTTGTTCATGGCTATCCTGGTTTGCCGCTGCTGGCCTCCGGTAGCGAAAGACGATGAGAAACGGCTCTGTCAGCAAGTTGTCCCGCAGACACCGCCGACCCGTCAGCCCTGTCTTGCCACCAACTGCAGGAATGGAAAGTTGTCGATCGTCATTTATGAACAGCATTTCTTTTTTCTTTCCTTCTCACTGGAAGCGGGAAGGGAGAAGACGCTGCGGATGAGCGAGGGCGTCAGGAAGGGAGCGGCGGGTGTTCCGTTCGTCAACACACATCTCATAACAAAAGAAACAAAATTCAAACGGCCGTCGTGCGCTTACGTAAGGCAGATCCGAAGAGGCCAGCAGGGGCGAGACCGATGCGCTTTTTGGGAGGGATGATTTCTTTCCCTCCTGGCCTCGTGACGATGGTGAAGAGTCTCCTACTGCTGCGAGGTGAATGAAGGTTAGCAAGGTGGACGACGGTGGGGGAGGGAGACACCTCGGCTTAGCCGCGCCCTTCGCGTTATGGGTGGCGAGGGTGATTTCCCCCTCCCTCTTCTCCGGGGCGTCCTCCTCCTCCCTCTGTGCCGGGCCCAAGCGTGCATTTGTCTTTGTGTTCCTATCTCTCCCCCATCGGGCCCCCTTCTTTCACTCTCGCCCCCCAGGACAAGTGTAGAACGGTAGAACAAAGTTTGTCGGTTCAAATGCTCCCGGGCACCGCGTGCCATTCTGCCAAACTTGGAGGAGGGCGAAAAGAAGAGTCTTTTAGCATTTTTTTTTTTTTTGGTGGTGGTGTTTTTGTTTGCGGAACGCTCGTCGGTAATTTCAGAAATGTGTAACGTTGCTCCCGTAAACTCTTTTTTTTTTTTGGTTACGTGCTGTTTTTTTTTTCTTCGTGAAGCATGTTAAATGTAGGTGTCCCGGGCCACCAGGTCGTTAAGGGGCGGGGTGTAGCTTGCGCTAAAGTGATTCTGTGGTTCATTTGAGGTGTTTTTAAAATAAAAATGGTATCCTAGGCAAACAAAAGAGATGACGTGTCTTGGTATACCGCTAAACCTCGGGGACGGATGACTAAACGCCCACAAGCAAAATGCACTATATCTATTTTTTTCTTCTTTGCAATCCTCACATCTTCTTCTATTTTTTTTTTTTTTTGGGGGGGGGGGGGGGAGGGGAGGTGGTAGGGTCGCGTTCTGGTCCCGGCAGTTGACACTTAGAAGACAACATGCCGATCCCGGCACGTAGTACCTTCCTTGGAGTACACACCGACAGATACAGAAGTGCCCATTAAAAAATAAATATTCGTAGACGAGAAATATTTAGAAATGTATCGCTCTTTAAATAACTTTGTGAATGCGCTTCTTCTCTTATCGCGTAACGGTGTAACTAATCTAGTAAAGTGTAACGAGTATGCAAATCTACTTTCTGCTTGTTTAGTATATTTTTAAAAAATATATATTTTAAATTTTTCCTTACATCTCCGCGCATCGACTACGCATACTGCTTTTAGTATGTGCATTTGTGCGCGCACGCTCCCGAGCGTGTGTGTGGACGGGTTGGGGGCGGGGCGGGGGGGAGTCTATGTTACATCTATATCTTTAGGGGGTATTCACCGGACTCCATATTTTACTGCTAGTGCAGACGCCAGAACGTGTAGCGTGTGGCATTACTTCTTAAAGAGGTGCAGAAACGAAATGACGTAACCGCAAGCTTTCTACCTCTCGCTTCAAAGCCGGCAAAGCTACTGTAGTTGCGAACGTTGCCGCTTGATGGCGTCAACGCGTTGTTTTTTTTTTTATAGCAGTAATATTGAGGACTTTACGCCCTATGGGGGGGGGGGGGGGGGGGGGGGCTAAACATAGCTTGCTCGTAACGTCATTCGAGGCCATGCAGTATTTTATGTGCACCGAGCGTTCGGTTCACCCTATTAGTTTAACAGCGCAGAAGTCTCGAAGGAATCAGTACCCAGCCCGCATCCGTGGGCGGGGGGGGGGGGGGGGGGGGGGGGGGGGATGGGGATGGTTGACTCGCCTGATGCCCCTGCATCCTCAGATCAAGCTCCTACCTAACGCCTGCAAAGGACGGCGATTGTAATGGCGTGGAATGCACGTAGCCGAAGCGCTGTGGAAGCTTTAATATATGGAACGTAGTAAACGCGTCAGCTTTCCCTGCCAAGTCACACTCAGGACTCAGTAACTCCACGAGCGAACCATACTGAGGCGAACTGGCGATGCTTCTTGGGAGCTCATGACGTGGCGGCATTCAAACGGAGCTTCACAGACCGCCACCAGGCGCAATTTTGAAATACATTAGCTCGTCTTAGAATTAGTTTTCTTGACTTTCCTGTCGGCAGCCCAGAAACACTAGTTTACCAGCGCTTCTGGGCTGCATGCACAACGTAGGCGGCATCTAAACAAAGCTATAAGTGCAAGAACTTTGTTTCCGTACCCATTTAAAGGGGCCACGCAACAATTTGTGAACAATAGGTACGAATTGTTTATTATAGCCACTCGCTGGGTGGGCAAAGCACAGGGCACGCTGTAAGTTCCACACACTGCGAAGGTTCGGATATTCCCGTTATCGAATCGAATGGTTACGAGCCACTACCCGAATGCATGTCGAGGCAGTGATTGTCACGAGCCCAAATCGAAATCTCACGCGGCGCAGTGCTCGTGTCCATTGAATGAGCCGCATTCAAATATCCTCACCGTGGGAATCGCAAAGCTCGATGTCGAAACCTTGTGGTTCGCTTTGCTCAGAGAGCCAGCAATGCGATCCCCACAGCCTCCTCAACAAGTTTTCCGAATAGGAGATCGAAAGAATACATCCTATCTAATCCTTCAAACGACGCAGCATTGGTCAATGGCCTTGCATGCGAGTCGACTTGGGTAACATGGACTGCATGTGACGTCATTCACAGCGCTGCGATCACCTCCAGAAAAGAGGGGAGATGGAGCTCCCCTCTTATCAGGATCCTCTTTTGTGCCTCCCGGATAAGCACAGCCGGTCCCGTCACTTAAAATTCTTACAAAAGCAGCTTCCCTCTCCTCCTCTTACATGGTGTTCAAAAGTATGCGATGTGACGTCAGTGCAAGGTAACATGACGAACTGTGGGGGCTACGGCCGCAGGACCCAATACCAGCGTCGGCGCGAGGCACGTAATCCCACGTCACGGGAGCATACTACGCCACATGTCAGGCGCGAGGCCCGGATGAACGGGCTGTCGTCTGCTAGCCAAGAGTCGTCTGCCCCGAAACCAACAAACTTCGGATGATCGTTCACCGCAGCAACATTTCCGTCCGCTAGAATTGCGAGCACTTCGGGAACAGTTCATGAGACATCCATACGCTCCATTTAGCCGCGAATCTGTGACAGGTCCCAGGGTAGAGTGCGATGTTTTGAGCGCGAACGGCCGATTGCACGGCTGAGGTCGCCGGGGATCGCCAACGGCCACGGCACTACAAGGAGAAAGAAACAAATATATATATATATATCGGGAGAAGATACGGATGTGGCGTCACTTTTTTATTTTAAATATAATTTAAAGTCGTGAATTTGTGATTTTTTTTATTCTTTATATTTTTACGTTATAGATGGAATCGAGCAAGTTCAATTACCGCAAAAAGAAAAAGGAGCCTAAAACTACGTTTTGTCGCGGAGGGCGCTGTTGCTGTGGCGGTAATGAGGCCCCCGTGGCCTCGACCATGTCCCTTGCTCCAGCGCCCTTATTGAGTCGCGGGGGCCGCAGCCTCCACAGTTCGCCAAGTTATCGTGAAGTGAAATATAGTGCCAGTAAGCTTGCCGAAAACTGGCAAACATACCTACCAAGTATCGTTACACCGCCCTTTCATACGCAATCTTCGGTGCATCGGTAATTCAGTAAAACGTCTACTTAATCGACGATACCAGAGTGTGAAGCGGTTGCTATCGTTCGACGTGGCGTCAAACAGCGAAGCAGTATAATTCGCAATTAGGAAAACTCTTCCGGTCTTTCTTACTGCTCTCAGGCGACCTTAGATCGAATATCACGTCATGGGGACACCTTGTTTCAGAAAGCCATTTCCTCCAGGTGTTTCTCGACCTCGCCAAGCGTGAATGTTGCTCGTCGGAGGGCATTCTCTCTAAGAAACGGAGGCGCCGGTTATGTGTTTGTTGAAAAATGCGGTACCTTGTTAGTCGCTGCACGGGATATCCGTTCTGCTGGTCGGTCGGCGTGACGTCATTCGAGTGTTCTTAGTTGGGGGAGTCAAGTCGCGGTCCCACTGGCAATACGTCATACAAAAGAGAGCGAACTCCGTGCATTTTGTACCAACTGGTCTTTTTTTGTGTGTGTGTGTGAGCGAGGAATCGCGCGTGTGTTTTTTCGCACAGTACCATATTGACTCGAGTGATAGCCGCACTATTTATAAACAAGGCCCTTGCGTCCACTTTCTCGCAAAGCACATATACTGCCAATCATCACGTTGCACATAAATAACATAGGGAATGATTAGATCGATAACACAATTCTCCATACAAATCCAATCTTCACAGATGGTATCTTCGCGCGAAGACGTTATCTCTGTCCTGTAAACCGCTGGAATCATGATGACCATTGCGGTGAATGGCAAGCCGCGTGCTCCGCGGAAAAGCGAACCTTTTGGGTTTTTTTCTTCATAAACAGTGCGGCTATTACTCGAGTAAATACGGTAATCGCAAACGTGCTATCAGGGAGTTTTCGAAGACCGCGTTTATCCCTACGCGGCTCCGCTAAGCCCTTTGCAACGAAGAAGCCGCTACTGCGCCTGCGCGTCCATGGCTTTGACTGTAGAGTGCCGGGCATCGTAGCGGGTTCTGGGACGGCGAAAGCGATCAACGAAAGCTCTCTATTAACCGCAATACACGAGTAGTTGCGATAGACGTGCGGTGCGGCACGTGCCCAACGTTCTCAGAGAATGGTGCTTGGAACGATTTTCCGCATTCACGAATTTCGCGTGATTTGCGGTTTTGGTTTTTTCGCTCGTGTGTTCCGGCATTTACGGTGCCGAATGCCAAAACAAAGAGTTTTTTTACGGCATTTCTATTGCATGTCGAATAGGGTGTAGCGTTTTCAATCCGTATGGCATCTGTATCACGGAACACAAGGTAGAACGGTAAAATATACGCCGAGACGCCGT